AATAAAATTTTCCGAGATCTTTTATGCAGAAATGCTTAATTGACATTTTTCCGAGATCTTTTCTGTCTTTATTTCCTTCCGAGATCCATTCTGCTAATTTTCCGAGATCTTTTATTTTCACGTCCTTATGTGATTATGCAATATTTTCTGCAATGATGAAAAGTGATCATAAATCTTCTGATAATAGGGCAACTTTTTCTCCCTATGATCATCATACTCTTACCTTTTATTTTTTATTACACAGTGCGCTTGATTTGCATTTTGATTTATTAGGAAGTAAACATAACCATCGCCAACATATATAAAAAGTTTTACAGTGTCACAGACGAATGTTGTCAGAAAATCGAATATCAAGGCGATTTAACAACAGTATGTGTTCATATAATAGGTAATCTAAAATGTGTTATGTTACAAGTGAAACACATCCTCAGACAGTAGCCGGGAAAAAAATTTCCTGTTTTTCTGAAGCTTTTTATAAACAATCAGTAAGACAACTCACTAAAATTAGTAAGGATGAATTAGAAAAACGACACTTAATCTAGTTTTCATTATTACATCTTTTTAGTATTTTATATGACCGGATTTGAGGAGTAAGGTAGACAGATGAGAGCTAAAATCTTAATACTGAATTTTAGAAACGCCGAAATAATAAGTTTCGATGCTACTGTTTCAAAGAAGATATTTACACTGGGCACATGAAAAAGATATAATGGTGGTTGACGGAGGGTTTCGGGATTCGGTCTGAGTGATGCAATTATAGGGTTTGATGTCGCTATACCAGAGTATTTAGATGGGAGACGAAGATTTGACACAATGGAAGTTAATCGATTAAGATTCGTGACTAAGATAAGATGGGCTGTGGAGTGTGTAAATGGAAAACTTAAACATTTTAATCTGTTGTTGAATAAAATCCTACGCATGAAACATACGTAGTCAGCCACGCTGAATCTAGTGGCAATGCTTGTTTTTGGAGAAAAAATCCAAAACATAGGTTTATGCTGTGATTGTAAGAGTTGTAACTCTGTTTTTGTGGAGATCTCGTGGAAAACAAATTTTTAAACAAATTTTGAAAGCTCATCTATTACATAAAGATGCTGCAATGCCTTGTCTATTGAATGACGAAAACCGTAACTTTCTTGCTATTGTCAGTCAAAAGTTATTTAAAAACTGGCTTTTGCAGGCACACAGTAATAAACCGCTGAGAAACCCAATATATCAAAAAATTGGTAAAAATAACTGCTAATTAGTAACTTTTTGGGAAAGCAAGTACAGGGTTTTGTAGTACGTGAAAATTTCTGTCAAATGATATCTATATTCCTTCACGATCTTCAAGAAATCAGTAACGTACAGAGAAAAGTGTAAGACACTAGGGTGACCCTAGTTAGCACTCTTTAATTATAATCTTATACTTTAGCAAAATAATCATAAAATTCTTTTTAATGAAACTATAACCATAGATCGTTGGCTCTCAAACTGCGCAAGAATGACGCTTTACGATTATTTTTGATCGAACTGCAAGCTTTCCAAAAGGGGGCTAGCATTCAAATTTTAATTGGAACTTAATTAATTAATAACACTGTCAATACTTGATCAAATGAGTCAAATGACATATCAACATTATTATCGCATGACAGTCGATGTTTGGTGTAAACTGTTCAACGTTAAACCGTATACATGCTCTATTTGTACATCGGATACAATTAGAAACCAAGTAGAAGATGAATTTTATCGTAAAGATTTAGATATGACAAAACTTAATTGTGAAATTCGTTTAAGAAAAATTTTATTGTTTATCATTATTGAGTGCCTATGTCAATCATCGTCATTTGTATATAATTTTTTAGCGCCAGACATAGTCCGAGAAAAATATAAACAATGCTTTTCATTTATAACAACGACAGTTAATCTGTGAACGCACAATTTTAAATGAGATTGACACTGCTCAACAGACCAGACAGTAGCAGCTTTCATGCGCAAATATCTAACTGATGAGAGAAAGTCCAAGTGATAACCTAAATCATTTTTAATTTGAAACATAGTTTTTCATAGAGTATATATGCTACTGATAATAAATATTAACTCTAACCATGTAAGAGTACAAACAGTCATTTTTAAGCAGCTTCTCTAGAAATCCGATCTCTGGTGACCTCCATTTTTAAAAAGAAACGGAAATGTTTTGAGCTCTGCGTTTTGTTTCGTCTTGAGGGTGGGAGTCCAATTTTGTTTGAATAAAACAAAATTTGGTCAAGTATTGACAGTGTTATTATTAAGTTTAAATTCCAATTAATTTGAATTGCTAGCCCCCTTTTGGAAAGACTGCAGTTCGATCAAAAATAATCGTACAATGCTGTTGGAATTCTGGTTTAGATATCAACTGGAATTTGAGCTTGAGACGAGAATACGAACAAATGAGAAGACCTTGAAAACGGGCATTGAGTTGCGAAAAGGCCACGAGCGTGTCATAGCCATCAAGAAAGTCAAGAATCTCGAAGGTAAGTTCATTCGTGAGATCTTCGAAGTGAGTCATATGCAATCTATTTGCGAATAAGTGAGACAAATAGTCAGGTAATCGATTCTATTATCTGTTTACCCTTCCTTGCCGTGTGCTGCTGGTGAAAAGAGAAAGATGGAAGTGAGAAACAAAATAATCGGTATGTAATACTCATTGTTCTTCGACGGTACTCGTATGTTGTTTATCTCAATCCATCAGAAGAGTTGAGCAACTATCAGAGAAACTCGATAGATAACTGTTCATATTTCCATGAGCAATGGTCGGCAAGAAATTCACAACAGTGCCAGAATCGGAGAACTGTGCCATGTCTAGACAAAAAGATTACACACGGGAGTAAAACGTCCGTCCAGGGTTGATAAGAGCAGTGCGATGTTGATCGGCTGTTTCAAATGTTGGAGTGATGGTTATTTCAAAAACGAGACTTTATCTGTCCATTGGATAGACGTTTTGGACAGTCTGAAATACCTACCTGATTTATCCACTATTCACATGATATCTGCATCTATGCTGAATAATTCATCTCCAAACAATCTTCTTCGATTCATTAATGCTTCTAAAACATGTACAATAGCCTTGTCATATTCACCTCTCCATGTAAAAAGATTTCCTAAATTATTCAGCACAACTGTTAAATCTTCCACACGTTGTGGCTCAGCATGAATCATTAATTCATAAGCATGCATTAGATTTTTAAAAGCTTTATCGAAATCTCGTCTGCTAGAATAAATACTACCAATACCATTGAAAATCCATGCTTCGTCTTCACCACTATGGCTATTCAATAGTCGTTCGCAAAAGTGTAGTGCTTTTGTATAGTCACCCATATCAGCAAGCAGATCTACAAATGCACTGGCACCACTTCCTCCATTCATTTCTCTTCTGTTTGATTCAATGTATTCTTGTGAAATATTTTCACCGGCACGTGTTGTTTTTAGATGTACTAACCAACATCCCAGTTCATCTTCGCTGATACATACGATTTCAAATGTAGCTCCCGAATTAAATAAAACTTCTTTTTCATCAGGATATTCACTAAATCGTGCGATATCGGCGAAAACTATGGCATCTTTCAACTCATCTACATTACATTCAATTTCAAACAAAACACTTCGTTGGTTCTCTGTTGGTTTTCCAGAAAATACCTCAGCTACATCTCTAGAACGGCTTGTTGATAAAAATCCATTGGTTGATACGAGCTTGTTTGATGAAGTTGTTTTCAAATTCAGTAATAGACATGATCAATCCACGGTAGACTGTTATACTATCAACGAATTCTTTAATAAATTGATGCTCTTCAGAGATCAGCGATAAAATATCGAGAAATATACAACTGTTCAATGTCTTCTGTTCTCAGTGCTCTATTAATTTGTTTATATATGAATGGTTGATCGGTATACCATTGCAGAGCATCTCTTGATTGGTAATTACGATCAAATTCATTGATTAATTTTAACTATTTATTATTATTATGATAGTATTCTTTCAGTTTACTAATCATATCTGTTTTCGCATATTTATCTAATGGTTTTCCAACCAAAATATCACGAAATAATTTTAGCCAGAGAAACGAAACAGATTCTTTTGATATATTTTTTTTTTGACAGATTCTTTTGATCTCGTGTAGACTTTTCATTTCGGTCATAAAATTTAAATGTCTCTGAGTGTTTATTTGCAAGCGTAATATTTTCATTGATATTTTGAAGTAATAAATTTGACTGTGAAAATTTTCCAATAATTTTTGAATATTCGTCAAATAACAGTTCAGAATTATTTTTCGATTCCAACTCGTTAACGAATAAGAAAATGGAATCCAACTGTCTCGTATTATGAATATGAGGCAAGATGGTATGTATAAGATGATTCATCAAAGACATTAAAAAAGAGACAGATATTCTTTTCATTTTCTCGCATGGGTAGATAGATATATAACGTGAATAAGAAAAGAAAAAAGAAAAGAAAAGAAAATCGCTATTTGCCGCAACTCTATTAACAACTGTTACATCTATTAGTAAGAGATTTTTTTCTTCGAATGATTAATAAGAATAACGATGAAAGAATTTCACAATTAATAACAAAATGTCCTATTACGCAACTACCAATCCAACAACCAGTTTTAGCTGAAGATGGTTTTATTTATGAACGTTATGCTATATTAAAATGGCTTAAACAACATAATGGTACAAGTCCAATGACACGTCAATCAATTAAAATTAAAAATTTAAAAACTGTCATTGAATTTTATCATGAGGACGATGGTTTTGATTATAATTATCTACCAATAATATCAAAAAAATGTTTTTTAACAATATCTTTTGCCGTTCTTATATTAGTAGTTATATTTTCAGTCGTTTTTGCTATTTTTGCATTATTATTATGATTACATTAAATGGTAGAGATTTCATGTCATAATTACGGTACTCAGAAGAATAGTCAGATTAGGATAGAAGAAAGTTATTATTACCGAGGGTATCAATTTTTTTGATCCCCAAAATAGTGACTCTTGATCCCCAAATTTATTAACAGTGAAATGATCCCCAAAAAATAAGACTCTTGATCCCCAAATCAATTAAAGATATTTAAATTAAAGAAAATATATACAAGAATATATAGAAATTTAATAGAAAATTAATTAGTGAACAGTATATAGAAGAAGAATATATATACAACAAGAAATATGAACAGAGTAGAAAAAACTAATCACCAAACCACAATCTGATCGACGCCGTTGGCAAACATTAAACTGTTTTGCGTATTCTTTTGCTTCATCGAATGATGTACTTATTTATAATACTTTCCATTCTTGCTTCGACATTTTTTTTTTTTTAACATTGGTAATAAATTTATTTGTTCCAAAAGGGTTAACAATCGTGAGAAAAACAAAATAGCTGGATTTTATAATCCACAGATTAATAAAACAAAGAAAAGAAAAAGAATAACTTTACTAGTGATAATGCATAACTAGACCGTGTTAAAATTCTCTAACTATCTTAACTATCTTATTGAGCATCAGGAGGTTTACGGGGGTTGAAGAAAATATTTATACGCAAAAAACTCTAGCATCTGTGTATTTCTTCTAAAGTATCCATATTGTTTGCTTTGGATATTCTCGAAAATTATCCAGTCTGTGTGATTATGCCTTGCATTTGTACGCATACGGTTTAAAAATTTGCTATTTTTCCTAAAACCAAGATTTTTATACCATTCCTTTTGGTGAGACGTTACCGCCAGAAAAGCACACCGTGTGTGTTGATATTGGGTTGCTTCTGGGGCTTTCTCTAGATGTTTAGTAATCTTTTCCAGTACTTAAAAATATAATCTCTTAACGAACAATCTCTACTCAACACCAGTGTAGTTAAGTCATCCCATCCATGTAAATCGTAGATGATTCGTAAACCGGCTGCATAAACATGTTCTATGAGGTCGTATTGTTTTTCTGTGAAGAAGAACCAGGTAATGAATACCCAAATAAAATGCGGAGTGCGAAAGCAAGGAAAATTTGTCTTCTTAATTTGATATCTTTTTTTGGGAAACGAAATAGAACTCGCAACGAGTTGTATATATTCCTGATTATTTTTAAACGATTGTGAATGAAAACTCCCCATCCTAATTTTGAACATATCTCAACACCCAGATATCTGAAAATTTTTACAAAGTCAGTTTTAATTCCTTTGTATTCTAAGTATGGATATTGAGGAGCAACTACACTGAGGATGAGCATTGCCTTTGTTTTTGATACATTAACCGGTAGAATGATATCATCCTCGAATTTAGCTAATGAACCTAGCGCTATCCTAGCCCGGTGTTCTAATTCCTCAATATTCACAGAAAAATGCTTCTCCAATGATCCGAAAAAAACAAGGGCCAGATCGTCCGCAAATAAATGTGTAACTAGTTGCATGAAATATTTAGGAAGAAAATGGATGTGAAGGCGGAATAATGTAGCAGCAAGTACTGAACCTTGAGGAGTTCCCACAAAAAGTTTTATTACTCTTGAGCTGGCTTCACCGTGGCAGATTGAGAGAGATCTATTCTGCAGCCACAGATAAATCCACCGGACCAGTTCCAGCGGCATTTCCAGTTCTAATAAATTACTTATCAGAGCTGGAAACCACATCCGATCAAAGGCAGTCATAAAGTCCACGAATATTATTAATGCTGGACGATTACTAGCAGCAATTGTTAGTCTTAAATCTTCGCATAAAGATAATATCCGTGTTTGCAGCCTCCTTCCGGGTGTAAAACCTGATTGTTCATCAACATAGATACCCTTTTCGTAACACCAATTTAAAATACGTTGGTGAACAATCCTTTCAAACCATTTTCCAATATTGGGAAGCAGAGAGATAGGGCGGAGTCGATTTTCCTGCGGATATAGACCTTCTTTTGATAAACAAACTACTTTTGCATGTTTTGCTCCTTCAAAAAAACCTCCTTTTTCAGCGCATGTATTAAATAAAATTGTGATTATGTTTAAATATTCTGGTGGAATATTTTTTTTAAAAAAAAGCTGATGTACCGACTGAATCTGATGATTTTTTGAGCCTGAATTTTTGTCATTGCTTTTGTACCTCATCGAAAGAGATTTTAGAAAGTGGTATATTTGGTACGTATGAAATTTGGTCGTATAATTCGACCGCTCGTAAATGGTGAGGGTTATTCGTATTGTACAGAGGTGCTTTAAAATGGTTTTCGTAGAAGTCTGCTAATATATCCGCGATTTTTTGGTTATCTTTAACTATTCCAGTCGGAGTACTTATCCCTCGAAAGGCAGGTGTATAAGGATGAAATGTAGGTCTCACATATTTCCATATGTTTTGTTCTTCTTTCAACCACATCATCTTTTTCTCTCTTTTCTTTTGTTCGTAGTCCGATCTCGCCAATAAAAACACGTCTTTCCAAAAAAGGTATTCGTCAAGATGAGTCAAAAACGAGATCTGCGATAGCGCCTTCGTAATTTGTTCACTTTTTTAGCCAATACAACAAGATATACTGGCCAAGGAGGTCTATATTGTTTGATCGATATCCTTTCACTGGTTCTGTCCCACAGAGAAGCCAAAAAATTTGAAAAAATAGAGAAGCAAGTTTGTTCGTCCCAATTGTAAACGACTGAATTCCAATATTGACAAGTTAATTGTAGAAAACACGAAAACATTTTCCAGTTTGTTTTACGAAAAACTTTGTTTTCATTTGCAGAAAACGGAGAAGAACATATAACTGGAAAATGGTCGAAAGTCCCCTCATCTAACACCTCAGCGGTCCATCCTGAACAATCGTTTGTTACTCCAAAATCAATGACTGACTTTGAATATCTGTATGTTGGTTTATTAGGAAAAATCATCTCACATCCATTTTCCTCCAACCAATTTTTTAGCATGTTACCACTCTCATTACTACTGTCACACCGCCACTCAGGACGCTTAGCATTATAGTCTCCGAACACAAAAAACCGTCTTCCCAAACATTGTTGAAACAGATCCAACGGGGATTTTGTTTTAGGTGGAGAATAAACTGCTCCTATCAATATTGGTTCAGGAATAACTTCTAGGCTAATAAGTAGAAAATTTTCTGCCCTGTCTATAATTTTTGTTTTCAAAGAATTGTGAATTAACATTGCTACTCCACCGAAAGAATTGGTACCTTCTTGGCTTATCCAATAAAATGAGGGTATTTTTGGAAGATTTCGGATCTGTGCACCTATACTTGTTAGAATACAAAAATGTGGCATCTGGATAGAAATTAGAATGTCAATGTCTGCAATATGTGTACTGAGTCCCTGAACATTATAGACAAGAAAAGTGAGATTGTCGACAGAACTATCCGGTCTAACTTTGCACTATTTTTTGACAGTTGACCTTGTAGACAAATCTTTCTGCTATTTAAAACCTCGTCGTATTCGTTTTTTGATAGGACATCCATTCTCAAATGTCTACTATAGTTCGTTTTCCTCCATTAATCTCTTCAATTGCATAGATGGATTTATATTTCTCCCCGAGTTCACTTTTAACTTCGTCAATTAATATTTGATTGTTGATGAATTTTAACAGAATCGAAAATTGAACTGGCAATCTCGATGGCAGATGAGGAACGATATTTATGTTATTTAAATTTGTTGGATAACAGTTTTTATTGCATAAATAAACGAATAAGTCTACGTTTTTTGTTAAGCATAATAGATCGCCACTTCGATCGATCCACCAACTATCAAAAGCTAAAGGTGTTGAATTAAGAGGATTCAATGAAGAAAAATCAGCTCGAAAATGTTCGATGAATAATTGAATTAGTCTACATCCATCATCTGTACTATTGATTTTTGGTTCACACTCAAGACGAAATGCTGGTAAATGTGTGTCAGCTGCGTAATACAATGTCTGCTTCGATATGAAAATTTTCCCGTTATCATCATTTATTATCTTAATTGAATCTTGACTGTTTCCTCTTCGATGCTGATTTATCTGATTTTTTTTGCTTGTTTTTGGGGACAAAATTTACAACGTTTGAGTTATTGAATGTTCTAGAATTATATTGTCGATTACCACCTAGCTCGTTATTTATATTTTTACTTTCATCGAAAACGAATTTCTCGAGGCTTTCAGCCGGTTCGTTGTATCGTCGAGTTTTTCCTCGGCTACGTACCGCTGTCCATCCGCCACTTGAACAGTCATTTCCTTCCTCTCCATAATAACTGCCATTTGTTAGCGTCCGTTTAAAAGAGGAACTAGTAGTTTCTGGAGGTAGATTTGAGTTACTTTTTTGTTGTTCATTATAATGATCAACTGCTCGTCGTATAAATACCCCCATGACTGCGTCTTCTCTTTGCTGCTGCGAATTATATTCGGTTGAGATCATGTTTCATTCCAATATATTAAGAAAAGTTTGACTTTTAAAAGTAAGTTGCATTTCTTTAAATTTTTTATAGTATAGTAAAGTAAAACTAACACTAACACGTGCACATATACATACAGTATATGTACATATACGATAAAGAAAAAGATTTGAAATACGTCTGTATCGTATCGTGTAAAAAGAGCTTCGACATTTTTGTAATGGTATCGTCTATAGTATAGGGCAGGTATTTATAGCTCTTGTGAGTTGACAAAACCAATGAAATTTTCAAAAACTTAATTGTTGACAATACAATTTCGAAAATCGTCAACTGTTGACATATTTCATATTTCTTTCATATTCTGTTCATATTTATGTTCACTTCTTGTATATATTCTCTTTATATTCTTTTTCTTGTCTGTCCACTAATTAATTAGCAATCAATTTTCTATTAAATTGCTATATATTCTTCTTGTATATATTTCCTTTAATTTAAATATCTTTAACTGATTTGGGGATCATTTCACTGTTAATAAATTTGGGGATCAAAAGTCA